TGCAATTTGCTTTTTTGATATCCTCAAGTAGTGTTTCGAGATTACGACGAACTTGGCTAACTTCTTCGATATCGACTCGGGCATTTTCTTGTTTGAATTTTTCGTGCTCCTCATTCATCTTTTGAACTTGAGATTCATTAAACAAACAATCTTCGGCTAATGGATCAACTTTACGGTCATTAAGGTCTTTTAATCGTTCAGCTATCCAATCTTGTAAGCGTGAAGAATCATTTAGGTATTCATTGGCACGTGCTTGAAGTGCTAGAGAAGATTGATAAGTCGCATATAACTTGTCTAATTCTTCACCCATAGACTCCAAAGAAGAAAGTCGTTTTTGAGAAGCTTCTTTAATAACTGTATTTTTAGTAACTTTTACTTCATTCATTATAGGACTTGTAGGATATGGAATTTTTGACCCATGCTCTTCCCATAATTTTTTAACGTTTTGGTTAAAGTCTTTAAGATTTGTTTCAAAATCAATTTCACTAGGACCTTTTGAAACATTTTTCTCTGCTTCAATCAAATTATTTTTAATTTCATTTGCAACTTTATCCAAAACTGTCGCTTCGAAATTATACTCAACAGCAGCAGCACGTTGATCCAGGAGATCACGGGTATAATACACATGTTCATTAAGTTTATTTACATCATTTTCAAGATTAGATTGACGTTTTTCAATGTTACTCCTGCGGTCTTTATCAGTTAATTTTTCACTAGCTTCAATAAATGCGTCATATTTAGACTTATGATCAGTTTCAAAAGGTTGTAAATGGGTTTCAACTTTTTCTTTGAATGTAGAATATTCCTGATCAAGATCCTCGCGTGAAGATTTATCTTCAGGAGTGTTAAGTTTCCATGATGCTTTGGATGCAATAAAATCCTTTGATTCTTTTAGAGAAGCATCAACAAATGGACGAAATTCTTTATATGAATCTTCCCAAACGAGTCGTTTTTGTGCAGCATCTACTTCATCAGGTTCACGTTGGCGTAAGAGTTGAATATCATCTTGAAGTACATTAAGTTTTGTATCTAGGTTGGACATCATATTATTTAGTTCTTCGGTATTGACACATTTTGTTCCGACAGCTTTTATTTCAGCAACTAAATCAGCAACCTTTGCATGAAGAACTTTAAGTTCATCATTATCAAAATTATGAACATCCATTACGATTTGAGCATTTCCAGAAACATAATCCTCTACATCTTTGGAAGTGAATTTACAAGGCTCTTGAAACACGTCAAATTTACGATTGTTGACAAAATCATCTTTTTTGGTAATCCATTTTTCCAATTTAGCAGCTTCCTTTTTATATTCTTCGGCCATTTTGACAAATCTTAAAGCACGTTGATAATTTTTTAATGCTTCATCTGTTTCTTGGAGTAAACCTTGTAAATTCTTATGGTAGGCGGCGACACCTTCACGAACAATATCATTTTCGGATGCGTCATGACTTTCATGTTCTGGATAGAGAATTTTCTCAGCCATTGAATTCCAAGAAGCTTCAACTCGATTGTTGAGTTCATTAACGCGTGCAATATAATCCTTTTCCACTGATCCACCACGTGGATGATTTTCTTCTTCAACCAATTCATCTTTTAAACGGATTCCTCTCATATGGGTGTTTTCCGCAGTCTCAGAATAATCTAGAACTTGTTTTCGTTGTGTTAGAATGTCTTTGGCAAATTCATAATAATCCTTTAATTCTTTAAGAACTTCTTCTTCAAGATTTTCTTGTCTCACAAGTAAATGTTCTGGGACTGGTACACTTGATGAATCAACCAATTCATCAAAAATTTCACCCGTCGGAGGAATTATATTATTTTCAAAGTCATCGATGCTATTATAGTGTGTTTGAGCTTCTAATGTAACATCACTTTGTTTAGGTTGAGATGCATCAATAAACCAACCATCTTCTCTAGGTGAAATCGGTGGTTTCCACCTGCCTCGATTTAAGATAAATTCTTTAATTTCATCTGTTATTCTATCCCTAACACTCATTGCTTTACCATGCTCACGTTCCCATTTTACACGTAAAGCCAATACTATTAATTCATTTTCACGACGTTTTAACATTTCTAATAATTGATCGAGAATCGTTAATGTTTGCAAAGTAATGGAAATAGTCATCGTATCAGCAGGAGACATTGAGTCCGAAGGAGCCACTTCATTTCCCATTATATTTTTCACGTGAGCTCTTAAACGAGTCATATCTTCAGAATCAAATTTTTCAACCACTCTTTCTAGGTCATCATAATCTTTTTGCCATTCATCAACTTGTTGTTGAGTTGCAGAAGCTTCACCTTCTTGGAAAACATCAACTTGAGGAACATTTTCCAGAGTATTGATACGTTCATCAATCCATTTACGTATGCGTTCAGCTTCTTTAAACCAAATACGAACTTCTTCAATCCAAGCTATAACACGAACATATTGTTCTTTATGATTTTTAAATGCCTCTCTGTAACTCATATCCTGTGCTTCAGGTGATATTAAATGGGCATAAGAGGACTCAAGATCATTAAGCATTTTATTAGTATCAACCATAAGAGCATCCAATTCTTGAATTGAGGCATCAGTAGTTGTATCACCCTTTCTCATTTTCCCTTTAACTTCATCAAGTTTATTACGAATATCATGAGCACTTCTTGCAAATTCTCTTCCTTCTTTGATATTTAACAGATCACGTTTTCGTTCTTCAATTAAATCTTTTATTGAAGCAAATTTGGCTTCCAACTCATTTATGCGATCAATAACTTCACTTCCACGAGTTTTTTTAGCAGGTTCACTTTTTAACCAAAATTCAACCCACAAACTTCTTTCAAAGGAAGTTAAATCAGATTCAATTTTACTATAACGTTCAGTAAGTTCATCAACATGATCATCAGTACAAGTTAAACCATGAACACGTTGAGGTTCACGTTGAGTTTCATCATTTTCAGAATTTGAAGTATCAATCATATAAGTAGGAGGAGATACAAGTTGAGCATGAAAAGCTTCCAATTGATCTTGTATTTTAACACTTAAACGATCAAATTCGGAACTAGCAGAAGTAGGAGAGGTAGGACTTGAAGGACTTAAATAAGCAGCCATTTGAAGCCTATTTTCAGCCAAAGCAATACGAATATTTTGAATAGTAAGAAGAAGTTTAGCATGCTTATGCTTTAAAGCTTTTGAAAGAGCAGAATCATCAGTTAATAAATTAGATTCGAAATCGGTTATTTGAGATTCCAGATCCTTGACATCACCATGAACCAAACCAGCATCGTTATGTTCAATAATAGTCTTTCTTATTTGAGCCATTTGATTACGCATGCTTTGCATGGAAGTTAAAAGATTTATAACGACAGAAAAACGATCAGTAGTCGTTTGTTCTAAAAGGAGAGTAATAAAATCCGATAATTTTACGAGTCTTCCATTGAGATTTTTAAGTTGTTTTGTCATTAATTCGACCGTAGCTTGATCTTCGCGATCCATAGAGTCTTTAATGGCAGTGGTTATATCGGTAGCTTTCTTATCAAGGTCATCGATTTTTGATTTACATTGATTAGATTCATTCAAGATAGATTCGAAGATTTCCCTTCGACCATTTACAAAAGATTCAAGATTGAAATCATCTTCGGACCATTCATGTTTATGAACGAAATCAGGAACTTCCAATTCTGTAACCTTATTTTTAGTATCAGAAATAGATTTATCAATTTCATTAGCATCATCAAACCACCTTCCTATACGACGATCATGACCAAGTTTTTGTTTTGTAGAGTAAATCTTATTTTTAAGGTCAGAAATCTTAGAAGTGATAATATTTTGAATATGAACAGTCAAATCATCAGGGGCTCTGAAACGATCATGTAGGAGAAGTTGATTAATCTCTTTAACTTTGGCAGCAAGACCGAAAACCAACTCTTCCACGGCGACAACCTTGGTGTACCATTCATCCAAAACAGAAGAGGAGAAAACAATACCAGTAACAGTGATATCACTGGACGAACCAGTACTTATAATACCAGTATTGATAGGACTAGGGTTAACACTACCATCATCGTGGGTCTTCTTTCTTGATTCCTCAACACCATCCAACATAGCTTCAACTTTTTTAACTTCAACATCCACATCAGCCACTTTTGATCTTAATTCAACCACCCAATTTAACTCTTGTAATCTAAGTTTACCTAAATTTACCAAATTATTAAAAGTATTCCAAGAAGTTTCTATAGAAGAAGAAATTTTTACAAGGGATTGTTTATGTTCTTCATTAGAAGAAGCATCAACAATAGAGTTCGTTTTAGTTAGGAGGTCGCTTAATTGATTATATTCAGACAGTTTACTTGTCGATATTTTATTTTCAACACCGCTTAGTGAAACGTCAGCGGAGTTTATAGAGTCGAAGTCGATTTGAGAGGTTGTTTTTGATGGAAACGCGGGGAAGTTTTCAAAAGTTGTTATCATCCAAGACGACAGGTTTTGAGTAGCTTTAAAGTATTCTTCGAGAGGGTCGCCGGGGCCAATTATTGGAATCAAGTCTTTTAAAGCACTAACATTATTTTGAAATGTCTGACTTAATTGATTATATTCTTGGTCCACAGTTATTATGTCTTCTAATCTTATGTTTTGTACAGTATCTTGTTCTTCTTC